TTAAAAGGGATTACCTTTAAAATCTCTTAGAAAGTTTAAATGACCTTTGAAGGGACCTTTGTAGTAGCTTTTACTCAACTCTGACATTTAAGCTATAATTTCAGTACCTGCCTGTGGCAGGGGGGTTGGAACTCAATTATTTTTAAAGTCCCTTCCGACCCAAACCATTCTATGATTCCCTGCTTCGTAGATTTAAAAGGGATTACCTTTAAAATCTCTTAGAAAGTTTAAATGACCTTTGAAGGGACCTTTGTAGTAGCTTTTACTCAACTCTGACATTTAAGCTATAATTTCAGTACTGTGACAGCCAGGATTTTTTTTTTTTTTTCCTTGGGACTGAAGTTAATCAGGTACTATCCTTGTGCATCTGCATCTTTTTTTTTTTTTTAGCTGAATACAAATGAAGATGATGTATCAGTGTGTTGTGAGCTAGTATTCCATCAAGTACCATATCGGCTAGTATATAGTAAATGCTATACCAGCTAGTATTGCATTAAATATCATATCACGTAACAAAACCCAGTGTTTTTCTGTGTGATATGGTATTTAAACTTACTGTGAGAATTATTTTTCTAAGCTTCAAAAAATTGTGATAATGGCATATCAGACTTCTTCTGAGATGCTGTGAAAGTTGGATTAGCTAACTATGTGACTCTGAATGCTTCTGCTACGTGCATACTTGTAAGAGGTAATAATAAGCATCCTGTTTCACCTGAAGTATATACTTTTAAATGAAAGTGAAATATCCACTCCTGAAGAGGACATTGCTAGAAACTCTACCACAATTTTTACACAGACGTCACTCATATACCTTCCTTTGACACGCAAGCAAGTCTCCAGGGCTTCACCATTCAGAGCAACTGGATTCCTGCAGAGTTTATAAAAGCATGTGTGTTGAAAATGGAGTTGGGAGTCAGTCGCTGCAAGTCTATTATCTCAAAAGAAGTGTTAACATGTCAGGTTTCAATCAAGAGCAGTAATTAGCTGCATGCATTAATTCTATGTATGTGTTGTTGCTGATTGTGTTTGTACATGTGGATATGAAGTGTTAGGCCCAGTATATGGAAATATTTCACCCTTAGGCTTATACTTTCCCTTCCTATTTTGATAAGAACATTTTGCCTTTATGTCACTTAACAGATTTGTTCAGAGTTTAGTTAAATCGAGGAGCATTTCCAAAGGCAGGGAAATCCTCCCCTGGGTAGGAAGGAATGAGCAGATGAAGTGAGAAAAGCAGGAGGAAAAATGGGGAGGTATGCTGAGTCTATTTTTGAAGTTCAAGTGAAATCTTTCTTTGAGGGGAGAGAGAAATGTGAATAAGAGCTGAAAAAGCATCTCCTGTAAGCTGCTTGTCCCTCCTGCTCAACTGGTACTGTTGTCTCAGAACTCTACTTGCACTCATCTTGCATCACTGAGGTGTGCAACATTAACTAGCTCACAACAGTTATCCTTAAGAAGAGATTACTGATGCATAGTTTCATACTTCTTCGATTATTTAAGAAGCTATTTATCATACAGAGATTATATTATTACTTGGGAACTCAGTGTGCCTGGCTAGTCTTTTTAAGATATAGAGTGTAAAAAATGTACCAAGTTACGGATCTAGTTATCTAAAATGGTGTTTCAGTTCAACAAAAATATTTATACATGTGGATGTACATGTCTATACGTGTATGTATGTAGAAATACATTAAAAGGCTGGCATTCTCTGCATTGCAGTAGTGATAAGATATCTACGTCATAATGTAGTCTGTTTCACAGAGCAGTGGACATGAAATTGGGATAGTTAAGTTGTACCTGTAGTTTTGCCTCAGCTGTAGGCTTTTTTCACAGATAAAAATTTACCAATTGCATCTGTAAAGCACCTTGGAAAAAATTTAACACATTTTATATCAGTGGTAGTGCCCTTATTCTTCTGAAAGTCTTTTGTGCAAAGTCTTGTGAAAGCTTCAACATTTAGAGTTTTGATATTCAACAGCAAGATACGGTAATGGTCTGCATCGTTAGGTATATTTATAGAAATTTCTCTCTAACACATATGCATTCAAAATAACTGAATATAATATACACCATCATTTCATGATTCCTCTTTTCATTACCATTATTTCCAAAGAATGAAAATAAAATTAGGATCCCTGCTATAGTAGTTACTACATAAATGCAGGCATAAGTGGATGTCTTTCTGCTCTGGCAAACATAAGCTTGCGCTGTATTTTGCAACGGGAGACAGTTGATTCGTTTTCCCCTCTGAAGCAGGCAATGATATTCCTACACTAACAGTGTATTTAGCCAAACTTGAAAGAACCTGTGTGACAACTAGTCTTTGAAATGCTTTGGAATTTTGCAGTAATAGTTCCATTATTCTTATTTATATTTTCTGTATATGGTTATTTGTAAAGGAGCATATATAATCACCTTACTTCTGCTTGCTAAGCTAGCAGTAATTATTTATTTAGTAAGACCGTCAATAAATTTGAGCCAAGAAATGGAAAGCCTTTAATTACAATAGTGAAAACATGATATATCTTAAGAGTTCTGTGTGTCTACTGTGTGTTTATATGGAATACTTCTATCCAAGGTCTTTGAAGTTGTTGTATGTTAATATTTGATCTCACTTGAAGCATGTACACAGCTCTAAACAAATTGACTATATAGTCTAAGTCTAAGAAAATCTACAATTATCTCCCATTTTTTTTAGTATAAGTGTGTTATTCTTAAACTGCACATCACACTGGTAAAATACATCTCCTTAAAAAAACAAAAACAAACCCAAAAAAACAAAACCCCAAAACAATAGAAAGCTCTAGATCAAGGTCAGTTGGTTGAATATGAGGGGGGAAAAAAGGATGCTTTTTCTATGTCTTCAGGGAAACAACTGGAGCACAATCAAGTCTGACAAGAGTAGCATCTAAGATGAAGTGCGTAGTCCTTAATTATAGAAGTTTGCCTCCAAAAATGCAGGGTTTCCTTTTGTCCTACCTGCATTCACTGCTGGGCATTTCTTTTTTTACGGTAACACAATTTTATCTGTGCATAATCTCAATATTAAGAATTACAATTGCTGCAATCCCTGTTTAGCCACTGCTGCCACCTCCTGATGGCCTGGCTGTGCCCGAGTGGGCTGAGTGCCCCCACTCCTGTGTCCTTTATACCTAGCCCTGGAGGTGTTTGTAGTCTGCAACTGAACTGTGGCAGCCTCTATAGGATGTTCACATCAGAGCAGGACTAAAGCAGCAGTGGTGGTAAGCATGAAAGCTTCCTCGCTGTTCAATCAATTCTGGTCAGGATGGAGAAATTATGCAAAGAACAGAAATATGATGTCTGGGTGATATAGCACTATTATAGCAGTAGACTACCTGTACTGGAGGCATTAAGACACTTGTGGAGATGTTCTCCCGCACAAGTGTGGTAAAACTCGTGCCATGAAACTAAGACTTAGCAGGAGGCCTCTCTATTCCACTCCCCCAAAAAAAGATGCAGAGCAGTAACATAATTAAAAAAAATAATTCCTTAAGTTGCAAAATTCCATGCGTTTTCTTAATCTTTCAGCATCGTCATGCGTAATTTTCTCCCTTAATGCGCCAGTGTCTTCCTCCTTCATTCCATCCTGTACGTATGCACGTAAAAGGTAAATGGAAGAAGTATTAGCTGCTGATACATGACTGTGAGGTGCCTGGTAGCCTGGGGAGGTTGGCTTTTTTCTGGAAGAGAAGATGACAAGCTGACTGCACTTTTTATGACCTTTTTACTATTCAATCATAAGTATCCATGGTAACATGACTGTTTCTTTCATGCTGGTACGTAGCATCAAAATAACAATAAATGTTGATTTAAATTAATATGGTTGAATAGAACTTGCTGTTAGGTGTACTGAAAAAAATACTAGAGTTGGGACACAAGGAAGAGGAGTCAGAAGTAAATAATTTTATTCCTATTTGGGTATTTGGGGTCAATTGTCTTTTTTTTTCTTTTCTCTTCCCTCCTTCTCAAATTGTTACCTACGAATGTAACAAATAATTTATTAATTCTATTTGTGTGCCATATGAATGTGTTATTAATGGTCAACACTAATTTCAAAAAGTTTTCCATTCATTTCAAACAGTGCATTTCTGTTTACTGTGATGGACTCCAAAATGACTCCTCAATTAAAAAGTTGAATACAATGACACACCAACTTAAAGCATGGGAACTTTTGTTTTATGTATGTGATGTTTAATTAGTTTCTAGATGCCTTTCACCTGGCCAGAAAACTACGTTGATGACCAAAACTCCTTGTTGTAATAATCACACTTCACTTACAGACAAGTTTGGTGGTTTTTTGTGATGTTGGGGGGGATTGTTTGTTTGTTTTGTTACATAGAAAAGTGATTCTTGTTTAAGTGCTGTATTTTCATATGATTTGCCATCAGATGAGCTTTCACTTGTGTCAAGGTAGGGAACCGCTTAGATTCTGAAAACACCTTTCATGATTTATTTGAATCAAGATTAGTATCAGGTGAATTTCCAAACACAGAAAGTAGGTAAAACAGTCTTAATTACTCTGAAGGTCTTATCAGTTGCTACAGGTGATGGAGGGCTTTTAGAGACATCAGCATTTCAAAATACTGCCTGTGGAAGTTATTTCTGCTCTTACCTCCAACTTGCTGTGGTGCCGGGATGGATGTATACCTAATTGAAATAATAACTTGGGAAATGCTGCTCTGGAGAAAGGCTACCTTTGCAGATGTAGTGGCAAGCTGACCTGAAACTTGGCACCTACTTGAAGTAATTCCTGCCCTTTGTATCATCTGTCTTGCCTAGATTCGCTTCAATTAGAGCCACTAATTGCGAAATAGCGGTGTAGTTTTTCCACTGTGGATTTTATTTTTTGATTTCCCATCACCACTACCCCCCCTCTAGGAAGAATTCCTCAGCCCTGTTGTGCTGTGACCGGAGCCCGTTGCCGTGTGCTCCCCCGGGGCGGCGGGTACCGGCGCATCCATCCCCCGGGGCCGCGGCGGGAGCGGGCGGCTGGCGGGCGGCGGGGCTGTGGGCTGGCACAGGCGGCGGCAGCTCGCCCTGCCTCCTGACATCACTCCCGGAGCTCAAATCCCACTCGGAGCTCCTTCCCTGACTGGGTCTTGTCGGTCTGGTTGCTCTGGGGGAAGCTAGGACCCTCCCCGGGCGAGGCGAGGCTGAAGAGCTGCGGGAGGAAGGAGGAGGAAAGAGTCGGTACAAAGAGGGGTGGCGAGGAGCGGAGCCTACACGGGAGCTCCAGTATGAAATTCCTCTCTGCTTATTACTTGCTGCCTCTCTTTCCTGCGCTGGTTTTCAGCAGTAGGTGAGTACCGAGAGCTATTTTGCTGAGAGTTCTCCCGGTTTGTTTGCGGTTTGCTCTTTTTAGATTGGGTGCTCTGAAGAGAAATAACACAGATTTCAGCTGTTACTGGGGGAGTAAGTTTAGAGCGGATCTCTTCTCTGATTCTTCTCTCTCCCTCTTGCCCCTTCCCCGGTCCTCTGGGAGATACTGAGTCTTTCCTTGGTCTTTCTAAGACTATTTTTTTTTATGATGTAAAAGAACTGCTTTTGTATAAATTGACCCCCAGCTCATGTGCTGTAGTAGGGCAATAACAAATACAAGCTTTATATATACATCAGTTATAGCAGGTAGACTCTGTTTCATTGGAAATGAGGAAGCCAAACAGCTGAAACTGAGAACATGCTAACGTTTTCCCTTACAGTGTGTGAAAAATAATCACTTGAACAATCTCATCTCAGTTTAGGTTTCTGTATCTGACCAGAGACCTAGACCTTGCATCTTTCCTTAACTATGAAATGCAGGTGAGATGTTGCAGTGTTATCTCAATGCCAGGAAACCTGTTAAAAAGTTGCTGCAATCTAGAAGCATTCCTTTCTGTGCAAGTGTAATAAATCGCTGAGAAAAATATGAAAAAAAAACTACTGCAGTTTAAAAATAAAACCTGTTCTGACCATGGAGTGTTCTGATAAGATAACGTGCAGTGCTCAGTTGCTCAGAGATAGTGTGTTCTCCATGCTGTAGACATAAGATGTTTAACAGAGAAAAGATAAAGCTGAGACACTCTATCCTGTTGTCTTGATGTACACAGATGGAAAGTTAATGCTGGGTACAGAGCAGCTCTGATATAATGACACCGCTCTCAGTTGAGGTTTCTTAACTTGCAGTTCCTTATCAGAAAATCAAGCCCAAATTTTGACTACAGCATTTCTGTGCTGTGCTAGTATTAAGTACCCTATAAACTTCTAAGTCCATAAAACATGTTACCAGAGGATGTATGCATGCACGTTTGTCAGGGAAATGTCTCTCTTCCCTGATTCTTGGTCTCTTCCTGTGGAATCGGCATTGAAGCAGCTTTTTCCAGAAGCACTGTGTGTTTTAAGCTTTAATTGTTTGCTGAGACTTTAAAAAAAAAAAAAAAGTGTGTGCCTGCTAAGTACCCAAAGTCAGGTAGAGCAGGAGCGCATCTCTGTACACATTCAAACACAGGCAAATGATAACTGTGAAAATCTCTGAGTGGGGAAATGTTAGGACAAAGGGAGAAATCAGGAATATCAAAATGTTTAAATTACTCAATTATTTCACTCCTTTGGCAGGGATTGTTATTGGGTAGGGAAAGGGTTTTTTGTGGTGTGTTTTTTTGTTTGTTTTTTTTTTGTTAACACTTCAGATTTAGGGACTTTACAGTGCCAGTCTATACAAACCACTCCGGTGCTCTTGGGAATATAACACTTGCAGGAAAATTGTAATATATTGTGATTCAATAACTATCCTTTCTGATTTAATAAGTGGTCTAAGGAAACATTCACTAGCAGTCAAGTGTGAAACTTCTTGTCAATTTGGCTTAATAATTTTACACTCATTTAAGAGTGATACATTCTTTGCTAAATTATACCAGAGTTAAAAAGGGGAGGAAGTTCTAAGCCAGCTTCTGCAGATTCAGGTTTGTATCTTGCATGAGCTTGTGCAGGTAAAACTGCAGTGAAAAAAAAGATGTGGAAAGCTGTTCTAAATGTTCATATTTGATTGTTTTTATGCAATGTTTTACAAATTACTTGAACATTCAGGGAACTAAACTGGGACAAGGTATCCAATGTAAAGCCCTACAAGCAGGTCCTCATCTTCTTGAGAAAATATTAACTGGATGAAAAATGAATTGTAGGTCATTCTTGATAATGGTAAAAAAAAAAAACAAACCAAACCAAAACCAGTCCCTCCCCACCTTTCAAACATAGTTGGAAAGAATATGAAGAAGTTGTAGTTGGCGTATGAATACTAATTAAGAACAGTATGAGTTTGAGGATAGGAAGTACTTTCATAAGAGTATAGTTTTGTTGATTTATGTTCTTTTGTAATTGAGGGATGAAGATGATCAATGTGAGAGAAGCTCCAGTTGAAATTCCACCCAAGTACAGTATGTGTTGCAAAGTGAAGTTTTGCTTTTGACACCAGATTGGTCATCCTGTAAAAAAGGAGACTGAAATGCCACTGTAGAGCTAGAGATTTATGAAAGTCCTGGGCTACTCTGTTCAGCAGTTGCTTTCAGTCACTTGATTTTTTCCGGACTGTGTAGAACATAGAATAATTTTTCAACAGCACATGATGGAAGTTTAAAAAAATGCTACAGTGCTATCAATATGCCATCTACTGGAAAGAGATTATGCTTTAACCTCTTTCAGCAGAAGGCAATCCTGTCTGTGGCAGTTAGTATTTCTTGTAAACTTTTCTTATTAATTCATTTGTTGGACCCGAGCAGAGTAGGGTTGCGAGGCCAGTTGTGTTTGCAAAATGCAAGGTCTAATATCCCAGTGTGTGACATGGCTTAGCTAAGGCAAAGCATCAACTTTGCAGGGCAGAAAGTTTTCCATCATGAGGACTACTTTTTTTTTTTTTAAAAAGTTTGTACAGAAGCACCATATCTCCATTTCATAAGTTAGCGCTGAAATCAGCGATCACAGTACTTGCCGCAGAGGGGGACAGCTGCTGCTTTTTGTTCCTTGTCATGTGGTGATGCGTTCTTTGCATCATGTTGTGGTGATGGTTTTGGAAGACCTCGGCGTGTCTTCAAGCCTAATTGTAAGCAAATATAAATTGATGAGTTAAATTATGTTAACACACCATGTCACCTTTTCTTATTTTATGGTATTGTTGAAAAGAGGAGAATACACAGCTATTACTTTTAAAATTGCATTTTTTATTAGCTTTTGATTTTCAGAGTTGTATGCAGCTAACTTCTCAAAATTGTCTAAAATCACATGTGTCGAACAAATGCCAATCAAATTGAAGAAAGTTTGTGTTTTTGAAATGAACAATCTTTTCTGTATTACCTAAACTTGGTTTTGGTGCACCTTTGAGACAATGATGACTCTTAATTATATTTCCAGTTGGTTGTGGTGCCAAAGAGGTAAAAAGATTGAGGTGTATTTGCCTGTCTAGTTAGCTACATATGTTTTGATGCAATAAGTAAAAATTGCTGCTCTAAAATCAGTTCTATCAAAAAGTTAAGGGGAACAAATTTTTGAAGGGGAAATTAACTTGGTAAAACTACTCTGAAGCTGGTGTTTTCCTGTCTGCTTGTATATTTCCTTGGGCTACTTGGTTTTGGCAGATGTAATGAGATGGTTGCGTGTATGATATTTTTTCATTCGATGCTGAAGGGGCCTTCAGAAATTAGTCCCACTGTACGGAGTGCTTGGTGAGTGCACATAGTGTGTAATGGGCTCAGGGTCTGATTCTGCAGCTGTCCAAGTGCTTTTGTGTCCCCAGACACCTAAATATTCCAACTGGAAAAGCATTTGTAGAAAGGAGTGCTTGCATGAGGTCAGTCATTGGCATCAGTAACTAAGATCTGCGGTCCAGATTACCTCGTCTAATGATGCTTGCCTCCTTTTAGCTAAAAGGAGAATTTTCTAGATACTTCTTTAACGTTACTATTGTGCAGCTGGACACTTCTCTGCTCAGTGAAGAAAAATTTTTGTCCAAATGACGGATTTGACTCCTTAGAAGAAGCTTGGTGTGAAACAAAGCTTTCCTTTTTCCCTATGGCAGCAAATTCCTTTCTGTCCATACGTGAAATGCGACGAAGATGCAAGGCATTGAATAACTCAGCTTTCTAGCTGAGAACAGAGCCATAAACCCAACAAGATGCACTTTAATAACAATAATAGTGTTACTACTACAGCAACTCATTAAATGGATGTACAAACAACAGGGCTCTAAAAGGCAGAATTTATATTATTTTAATGGTAGAGAAATGGCTCGTGGTCATTTTTTCTAAAAGTGCAGTTCACTGGCAGTCTTGCTACACCGGTGTTATGAAGCAATCTGTAAATCATTGGCTTCTATAGAATGCCACCTCTGTGTGTGGAATAAAAATAATGTGCTCATTTCTGGTAGGTGGATGTTTTTTAATGAAGGTATGGGTATTGATCTGGTGTATGTCTAATGTTGGAAGTGATAGAAATATAGGGAATTTACTTAACTTATTAAGGACGAGAACCTGACTTGAATGCTTGCCTTTTTTCATGGACATATTTTCAAGGTCAGCTACTTATTTTGTTTGCTAGTTTTGGTTATTATTTTTTAAGGAATATGAAAAATACTAATATCTCTCCCACCTCTCAGATAAAGATGTGTGAAGGACTCAGTCTGAGACTTGAGGAAATACAAAAGGGAACATTTCTGATGTTATTAAACTGGGGAGGTCGTGGGGAAAATGTTGAAAATCCTTGTTTCTAGTTCTTATGCTCTTTCCCATCTTAGAAACCTTGTTTGGGCTGTAACCAGATGTTGAAAGTAGGTGTTTTTCATTTAGACTGAAATGAGAGTAGAGGGACCCTGCTCCTTTTGAGACTTTGAGGTGGAAGACAAGGCTCAGTGTGCACTTACACCCTCTGCTGTAGCCACACCACGGTCACATCTCCAGCAGGTAGCCAAAAGCGATTCTCACTTCTGCAATCTCAGGCCGAGGTCCGCCAGTGTCCTTCCTTTTTCCCACTATTGAAGGCGATCTCTGCAGAGTGGTAGTAGTCTACTTCTTTATCCGAAAAGATGGTATGTTTTTTCTCTAGGTATGTTGGATAACAGAGACCGTTTTAATGTTTTGCTTTCCAAATTCTTCCAGAAATACAGGGACATTAAGTCTATCATTGGTCTCCTGCTTAGAATGCCTTTCACATTTTTGCTGTCAGAGTTTTCTGGGCCGTGAAAGCTTTCTGATTTCTATCAATGTGGATGATGATGATACATGTTTGGTTAATGGCTTGTAAGGACTTCTGTTTGAGGTACAGAAGTGGCATTTTTGT